ATACTTAGTATGGCATTTTATGTTCCTCACCTCGCTATACCTCATCTCAGTGCATCTCACCTCACCTAAGCTAACCTCCACTCATCTCAGCGAAGTAACTCACTTTAGATCGAAACATAAAACTAGTTATCTGTATTATGAAATGATAAAAAAAAAAAAAATAAAACTAATTTGCACTTCCACAGCGCGACCCAAGCCGACTCATTCTATAATTTCAGATTTAATTTTAGTAATGTGTCTCTTTTGAAAGGGGCGTGCGATATATTCATGACACAAGGAGGATATTTTTTGCTAGAAAAGAACACATTTAGCTAATATTTGGAAAACTTTTGTTTTAGAAACAGATCCTCTAGATGGCTTTGGAGTAAAATTTTGTGATGTTCATGGTGTCGGAAAAATGTACAATAAGGCGCCGAACAGCATAAATCCGCCACTGGCTAACTAATGCGGTCTAATGCATGTTGGCCCAAGCTAGAAGCATTGGCAGCCGCGAGAGCCAACAACACCTGCTACCTGAGACAAAAACGCCCATACGTTTGTACATGCTACACAATAGGCATCGAAGGAAAATTACAGCTTTTAGTTGGCAGCTATAAAATACTTGACTTCAAATAAATATTAGCATAATATTGGCTTTTTTTGCGTGACACCCACTCCATGTGACTTAAATAGACGCGCTGGTGCCACAGCCATTTAGCTACTCTGCATGATGAAACAGCGTGGAGGTGCACAAAGGAAAAAAAACTACAGCAGTTGGCAAAGGTCTTCCGACCGCGCAGAGTTCCCGTTTAAAATGCAATTCCAGCTGCGCTTTAGAACTATGAAATTAAAAAGAGTTTTCGTTTACAGCCCTTTCATCTCAGCGGAAACATACGGATGAACGAATAGCGATACGGCATTGGTGTATTTGTGATGGGTATGCGATGGGTGTGCAACAAATGCACTCAACCATCAATGCTGCGTTAAAAAAAAAAAAAAAAAAAAAAAAAAAAAAAAAAAAAAAAAAAAAAAAAAAAAAAAAAAAAAAAAAAAAAAAAAAAAAAAAAAAAAAAAAAAAAAAAAAAAAAAAAAAAAAAAAAAAAAACAAAGCGTTGCTGCGACCGGAGTTGGATTCTACTTGTGGTACTCGTATCTTCATGCGAGAGTCGTAAAATGCAGCGGTATCTGCACTGCTAAGCCATACATATCTACATATGTACATATATATTTTGCTCGCATGTACCTATGCGTTTGTAAAAGAAAAATACTATTCTAATCAAAAACCTAGAATCGAGATATGCAACAAAAAATTCCATTTTTGTAGTCTATCAGAAATGGTTTTAATTAAAATCTTCATACTGGCGACTTGGTTGTGTTTCGCAGAAAATAAAAACCAACAACAGGTAAGTAAATTGTTTGAAATATACATATGTATGTATATGGGACGTTCATAGCAAAATGGACGGTGTTCACACTTTACGCGTTTGATTAGTTTCAAAATTTTAGAGTTGTGAACAAAAATAAATAATTAATATAAAATATAAAATTTGTGCTTGATTAATACATTTTTAAAAATTTACAGCACAAAAACAAAAACAAATCGATTTAACAGTTTTCCAAATATTTCGAGAACGGGGCGAGGAAAAAAATTTGAAGAAAATCGCGCTTACACACATCGGAATTTTCTATGAAAAGAAATATTTTTTAAATTTTTGTTCTTGAAAAATTTTTCACACAAATTTTTTGGTAAAAAATAAGTTCGCAAAAAATCACAACGGTAGCTCTGAGTATTGCGCAATATTTAAGTATAGTATTACGGAGTGCAATCTACAATACTTTGAGTTATGCATTTTTCTTAGACCGAAGTTGAGTAAAAGGAGTGCATTACAAATTTTAAATTTTTTTCGAAGTATGCAGTGTTGTAACCCATTAAATTTTAGTATAATAAAGTGCAAGTTTTAAGCGATTGTAAAACTGGCGTAAATTTTTTTTTTAATTTTCTTTTAAATCGTCAGCATAAATTTGTAAATTTGTAATGTACTCATTTTACTCAAATGGGTTACAAACCTGCATACTCAAAAAAAATCTAAAAAAATTTAAAAAAATTGTAAATTTGTTATGTACTCATTTTACTCAACTTCGGTTAAATCCATTAAATCGATTTGGTGTCCTTTTTGCGCTGTAAAGTTTTTAAAAATGTATTAGTCAAGCTTAAATTTCATATTTATTTGTTATTTATGTTTATCCATCAATCCTAAAAGTTTGAAAAAAAATCATACACATAAAGAGTGAACCCCGTCTATTTTGGTATGGAATGCCCCATATGTAGATATGTGTGCAAGTGAGAGCCGGATTAAAATAGTCTAAGTAGGTGTTGGCATAAACCTAATAAATAAAAAAAAATATATACATACATATATAAGCTGAGACGAGGAACCAATGTTGAATGAAAAGCACAGTGCTAAGCACATGCCCCAGGAAATTAAAGGAACGACCGCCTTGTTTAGTTATTTAAAGCAACGCAATATCTTTACTTTAATTCTATCTAAAGATTTTAAAATTTTAAAGCAAGTAGGAAAAATTCTTTGGTTTCATAAATCAGGCATTATTTTGAGGGTTTTATAAATCTTACCGGCTACCTGATGGGACACTGCAAGTTAATAGGGATTTCAGTGGAATTTCGTATTAAATTTACTATGCCTAAAGCCATGCTGATAAGGCAAAGTCAGTTCGTTTACAGTGGACTTCAACTTTTTATAGAATACGCCCGATAATTCCTTGTATGCAATTTTAAAGTGGTCCCAACCCGTGCTTTTTGGCGCACTTTATTTTGGATTAGGTAGAGCACGTTTAAATTAAAGTCGGCATGCCATATGTTCTACAAGTTTCGCTGCATCCTCGGAGTTCTGTATATCCCAACTCAGCTTTCAGGCCGTCAACTCCAGCAGCTTTATTGTTGTTGAGCCGCGCAATTGCTTTTCGGTTAGTTGGGATATGCGTTATCCACTGAATTTTATCACACGAGATATATCTGAACGCCACGCCCCATAATAAATAAACCGAAAAAAAACCAGAACCTGGATCACTTTTTTATAATACACTATTATACAGTGATATGCTTTCCCAAAGACAAATGGCCGCTTGCGATCGCACCTCCCAGTGTGCACACTCGGGAGGCTTAAGTATTCAATAAAGCTCCCTCCCTGAAGCTACACACGGATTAGCCCGCGCATTGGTTGTTGACGCTTCCCAGTTTGCGCGAATGCGAACGTAGCTACGTAG